TCACATAAATTTTTATTTAAAACTTATGTTAACAAATAGCAAAATAGCCATTTTAAATATTCTGAAAATATTTTTTTAACCATTTATATTTAAGCAATTGTTTGATCTTTAAGAGATATCTTCTATTATTGGATTATAAAGGGTGTATCTAAACTCTGCGGAAACACTTTAAAGGGTGATAGTACACATTAAGACAAACAATAGTAAATAGGAAACTTAGAGTTCCAAATGTCTTATGAAGGAGATAGGTGCTATTAAAGCTTATGGTCCAAGATTTCAAATGATTAAATAAAACGGAAAATTGGGTCGATTCTTTAGCCGTTTTTGCTAAAATTATTCTTTTTGTCAGTATTCTCTTGAAAAATAAATTTTAAAGATAAACCTCAAAAAATGTCGATACAGGGTGCTCTACACTTTGGAGTAACGAACAACTATTTTTTACTGTTACTTTTTGTATCACATTAAATGCTTTCAGAAGCTTAGACTTAAATTTTGAACTCAAAATTTGAATCGTTGGTGGTAGTTAAGTAGCGCAAACGGATTTGCGTTCAGGAGGTGAAATCTAAAACTCCCTTCCCTCAGAAAAGATTTCTGTTAATCCAGATATTGGTGTCGTTGGACTTGGTGTCGAAGACCAGGCAGCAACTACTACCTCCTACACGTAAAGTAAACACGAGAGGGATGACAAAATTTTTAAAAAATATTCATAATAGACAGGAGCAACTTCTCTGCTGAAAATAAAAAGAAAGAATTTGATGTGCGCCCGTATTGCGTATGAATAAAGGTTGAATAAATGAAGACACGCGCGTGTAGAAAATGGTACAAGTATGATTTTCTTGCGGAATCACAAAAACTGCTCGAAAAAGCGCCCAACAGCAATGATGCAGGCCTCACACCGGCGGCGAAGGCAATGTCGAAGATTAGCACATACCCCGGGCATCCCCCGGATTTTACAACGGCAATCCTCGCAACCACCCCTTATCGGAGTCGACGGGGCTTACGTAAACAAGACTCTTTATATGGCCCCAGAAGATGTCTAGGCAGGAGAGGTCAGGGGAGCATGCCGGTCAATTTACAGGACTACTCAGGTCAATCCATCACCCTGGATATGCTGTATCCGATGCCCTTCGCACATCTGTGGTGAAATGTGCAGGTGCTCCGTCATGTTGGAACCTTTTTGTTGGCTGGAACACTTTGCAGTAGAACTTTACATTCTTACCTACAATTAGTACCATACAGTTAAATCCTTGTGAGCTACACTTTGCATGCAAATCGGGTGATTTGCATAATCGGTTATTGTGCAGGAAGAAATTGCTCATGTCTGTTATGAATAACTTTTTTTATTCAATTTTGTCATCCCTCTCTCTTTTATTTTTCATTTAGTGGGTAATAGCTGCTGCCTAGTCTGAGACCGAGCATCGAAGATTGTGAATAACTGAACTGTGTCCAGGGAAGGAGGTGAGTTTAAATTTCACCTCCTGAACACAGTTGAGTTTTCGCTACTTAACCACCCCCAACAATTCAAATTTTTAGCTCAAAATTCAAGTTTAAGTCTAAGCTTTTGAAAGCATTTAATGTGATATAAAAAATGACAGTAAAAATAGTTGTTCATTACTCCAAAGTCTAAAGCCCTCTTTCGACATTTTTTGAGGTTTATTTTTAAAATTTATTTTTACGAAAATGCTTACAAAAAATAATAATAATAATAATTTTAGCGAAAATGGCTACCCAATCGACTTATTTTTCCGTTTTTTATAATCATCTGAAATTTCGCACCCGAAACTTTAATGGCACCTTTCTCCTTCGGAAGACGTTTGGGACCCTAAGTTTCCTATTTACTATTGTTTGTCTTGATGTGTACTATCACCCCTTTAAGTTTTGCCACAGAGTTTAGATACACCCTGTAGTTCAAGAAAAACCTTCATTAATTTTTGCTCTCTTTTCGATGCATTTTATTTCATTAAAATCTATACATTAGGTTAGATTTGAGAAATGAAGTAGGCATTTTACAAAGGATAAACTCGGCACTTCACGCTCAAAGTATGCATACTAACTTTTTCAAGACCCCATCTAAGGCTTTTTCGGAAAATTAATGGTTTCTCATGTAGCTGACTTTAAGGTCATAGCCTTTGAAGTGTGTATGCGAATTCTAAAAGTATATTTTCAGATAAAACCACTTCGGATATGTCATACCCTGCACGTGATCACATTTACAGTTCTAAATGCATGAGCACGATTTAAAATTTTTCTTAAGCGATGGCGCATTATTGTAGTTATGATGAAGAAGTAAGATATATAAGTAATTTAATAAATACAGTATTTAATAGATTTAGTATAACATTATTTTCGGATGAAAAAAGTCTCTGATGATGGGGAAGTACTGAATGATGAAAAGTATAATAGCAAGTATGATTCCTCTGCTAAAATCTATCCAGATAGTTTAATTGATGAGGTAATTATCGTTTTGACAACAAAAGCTCAAACTATTTTATTGTGTAATCAGAAACAACCTATTAAACATCGAACCAGACGCTGATTTCTGAAGTGTTTTGGAAGAATATAAAAACCAAAAAGCAATGCTATACTACGAAATTAAAAAGGAATTAAGATCTAATAAAATCATCGCACTCACTCGCGATGAAGACTAAAGGAAGGTAGAAACAATGTGCTGAATATCCAGAACACAATAACTAAAACTGCGTGTGAAAAGTGTAAAAAACATGCTGTACTTCCTGCTTTTCTTCGTTTTCATCTTTGTATGCAAACTTTACGGTAAAAAAAGAATATAAACACCGTAGGGTATGAGATACCCTGCGCGATACTTTGGGTCGTTTTCTTCGCGCGCGGAGTGCCTGGTTAACATTGCATTCAAAAGCGTCGGTAGACTGGAACCTTCGAGAAATCAAATCTTGCACCCTCGTTACAGCGAGTCTGATAACTCAAAATATTATAAATGTATTTCTATTAAATTTTTTTTTGTGAGAGAGTTATGGCATCTCGTATAAATTATGGTCTCCAAAGAATAACACATTTCTAGTATTATTTACGAGATCAGCTCAAAAATTTTTTAATATTTAATAAAACATTAAAGTTTTAGTATATATATAAATTTATATATATATATATATATATATATATTATATATATTTGGTAGTTCTCTACAAACAAGAGATAACATCCAAACAATAACATTCGAAAACACATAGACAGTAGGAAAATCACACAATGAAGGACATATGAGTAATCGAGATTAAAATATAAAATGGATGCTGCAGTGTTATAAACATTACTGACTTAGGACAGCTATTATATAAAATAATTTATATAAAAGTGGGGTTGAACATGTTTTTTGGCCAGCCAACATTTCCCCTTTTTTTGTAAATAACACTGAGCAAAAGCCAATAGGAAATGGATAGGAATATCTAAATCCATTATAAGATACAGGTAACTTACCTAAAAATTGCACTTACAAATGCAAAGTTCGCGCTAAATCTGATTACAAAAATTAAGTTATTGCCAGATTCTATACCCTAATACAGATTTAAATCAAGAGAATGGCTGAAATGTAGCACTTAATAAAATAAAAAAATGGAAATAAAAATTAATAAGAGTTGCATATTATAGCATAACTTTAATAACACTAGAGTAAATATGAATAAAATAATAGTAATTAATTTGATCTAATATTAGATTATGGAGATAAAGATAACTATGAAATATTTAAGTTTATAGTAATAAACTATTATCAATCTCAGAATTTTAATCCTAACTATTTTGAATAGCTTTATTCATATAACTATTAATAAAATTAATTGGGTATTTCTGATTTAAGCAATATTTAGTAAATTGTTTATAGCTATTTATAATGTCTGATTTTTTTGACACCAGAAATTTAGTACGTTGTATATAATTAATAACAATATTTCTGAATATAGAAACATGTACATTACTCTCCCAATGAGGAACTTTTATAATATTGAATTAAATTCTTCTCTTTTATCATAAATATTAGAAACTATTACATTTTCATATAATTTGACATGTATGTCAAGAAAATTTGCTTCATTGTTGTTATTATTTGTCTGTATCAAATTAAGATACTGTGGATAAAAATTAATGTTAGGAATAAAATTGTCTTGTTTGCCAAATATATACATATATATATATATTCCCTAAATAAATGCATTAATTTATTTTAGTAGTATTTTTACTAATATAAGTGTATTCCTTTTTTTCTCTAATTGTGCTTTGAAGTTTTTCAAAAATATTACTAAGACTTCACTTATAATTGTAATTGATGTAAAATTTTTAGATAATTTTTTTAAAAAAATATTGTCAGTTAAGAAATTATTTTTTATTGCTATTGATCCCTAAAAAATCATTTATAATGTTTCAGTATGCTACTTCTTAAAAAAGTACTCCGAAAGTGTTCGGGTACCTTAAATAAAATATTAAAGATGCAGCAAATATATATGAAATGAAAAGTGTAAAGGGGACCTGATGCATGTTAAATCTATTGAAGCTTAAGGTCCAAAGTTCTTACGTAGTGTGAAAGTTTCGAGAGTGATGTAGTGACTTTGGTGTTGACCTCTTTGCTTGATTAACGCTCAAATTAAGAAATCCATTGCTAATAGCTGTTGTGTATCATTTACATAAGATGTTAATAAACAATAAATTGTAAGAAAATACTGTTTTAAGTTAATTATATGTGTGTATGTGTTAGGTACAATATAGGGAAATTATAAAACATGTGTTATATGTCTGCTGATATTTTTAAAACATCTTATTTAACTTGCAATGTAAAATGTTCAGGTGGAATCTTGCAACTCAATTTTGAAGCTGATGTCCTCAATCGATTGAGTTGAAATTTTGTATACACGTTTATTTTGGAAGTCAATGCATGTTTTGACGATTTATAATCCTATATCGACCTAGGTAGTGTAACGATCTTGTTCAGGTGTTAAGGTGAGCATGTTTAAAATAACAGAGGTGTGCATCGTGGGCGTAGCTCAGATGGTAGAGCGCTTGCTTAGCAAGTGAGAGGTTCGGGGATCGAAACTCCGTGCCACCAATTATTATTTGATTGGATAAAAAGATTTTGAAATTCATTTGATTTGGACAACGGGATATTTTACAATACTTTCACTCAGCATACGTACAAAATATGTTATGCTTTTACTGTTCTTGAGGGAACACTAAGAAAGGCAGATCTATCAAGCTATTTCTATTTACATTGAAACACATTCTATGATATCTATTTACTCGATTCTAGTTTCTCCCGTAACACATTTAATTGACCTAGTTACTGTAACGAAATTGTTCAGATTTTAAGGTGAGTATGTTTACAATAACACAGGTGTCGACCGCGCGGGAGCGTAGCTCAGATGGTAGAGCACTCGCTTAGCATGCGATAGGTAAGGGAATCAATACCCCGCGCCTCCAATTATTTTTTTTTTTTCGTAAAGTATTTTTAAAATTCGATTGATTTGTGTACAACGAGATACTTTACAATATTTCCACTCTGCGCACGTACAAAGTATGTTATATTTTAGAAGCTTTTATTTAGCTTGCAATGTAAAATTTTCGAGTTGAATCTCGCAACTCAATTTTGAAGCTGATGTCTTCAACTGATTGAGCTGAAATTTTGTATACACGTTTAGTATAAATGACAATGCATGTTTTGACCATTTGTATTCCGATATCGCATTTAGTTAAAAAGACTAGCTGCATGGCCTGGCGTTGCACGGGCCTTCTCCACTTTTATTAATTTTCTCTTTCCTTCACAAAATCAGCACTTCTAATACTCTTTTTCAAAATGACTTCCACCCCCTTCCCCTCTTAGCCTGGCGTTGGTCGGGCTTTTACCGAGTGTATAACTTAAAATTCCCTGTTTCGAAATGTTTTCGCTTTTTTCTTTGTCAGACTGGTTTGTTTCCCCCCGGCGTTGCACGAACATTTTTAAATGAATAATATATAGTCATGGAAATTCTCCTTCCCCTCTCGCTATCAGAGCTCTCGAGTAAGTAAACATTCACCGTTTCTTAAGCAGCTTGACACGTGCAGCCATATAGTGGAACAAAAAGTAATGAATTTTTGCACAAATGAAATTCATAAAAAAAGTTTTCGAAATTTTATTTTTTAAATCACTAACTGTAAAATATTAAATTGTGAGTTTTTTAAAAATCATTTCCATATAAACGCATCGATCTTGGTTCATTTTAGAAAAAATCATAAAATATGTAAATTATCGTTTTTCTGTAAACAAAAAAAAAACATACTGTATCCTGATGAAATAAATTATCTTTCCAATTACAAAACTGCTGGCGAAGTTATTAAATGCGCGAATAAAATTTTGAGTATTTTTTAAAAAAATCATAAAAACCAAGCAATGGTGTTGTTTCGTACCCGGGTACAAAAGTTACTAATCTAGCCCTCTAAGCGACCGATCCTCGAAATGTTTGGAAAAAAGAAATAAAAGATCGTTGAAATAAAAGGAAGAGATCTTCAATTTCGTATTGTGTTACTTGTTAAAGTTTAAATTTTTTTCGCGCTTAATTTTTAAGTTAATGCCTTCAAATTTCATATATCGATTGAAAACAACGATAATTTTTAAACAAAAAATGTAACAAAAATAATGCTTAAATATTTCTCGCAAAAAAGGAAAAAAAAAAACAAAAACACAATTTTTATTTAATCATAATTTTTAAGCAACTTTTTCAATCTTTGTGCAAATTACAGATAATATTGTTCTACACACGGAAAAAGGTTTCTTGTAATTATTTTCTATAAATAAAGAAATTTTTAAGCATTTTAATAAAAAAATGCGTATTTTTTGAAAAATCGTAAAAAAAAAAGTTTTTTATTTTTTTATTTTTTAAATGATGGATTCTGAAAGTGAAAAGCGTGAATTTTATTAGTGTAGAATATTATTTCATTAACGTGAAATAAAATGCAATCGTAACGATTTAGAAATCATTTTCATAAAAATGTATCGATTTTGACTCCTTTTAGGAAAAATCGTAAAAAATAGATAATATGATTATTTTGTAAAATAAATTAAACCGTATCGTGGCGAAGTAAATCATCTTTCCGATTCTGTAAGTAATTTTTGTCTGAGTGGTAAAAAAAAATAGCTCGTGTTTTAAAAACGTCTGGGATAAAATAAAAAGGTCGGAAAATTGGAACTTTAACGCCTGGAGAGAAAAAATGGCAATAATTATGCATTGTACGGTTTTTAATTAATGTCTTTTTAACTAATTGCACTTTCGGAATAAAAATGGTCAAAACGAATTCCTCTAATCATTCCCAATCTTTTAGTACCTTCGACGAGATTCTGCACCATGCGGTTCGTGAGAAGATACACCTAGTCGTATAGTCGCATATATTTGTTTACCTTTGGATTTTAATATTGTAGATATTAATTAAAGTAATTTTTTCGGATGGAATCTTGCAACTCAATTTTGAAGCTCATGTCTTCAATCGGTTGAGCTGAAATTTTCTATACACGTTTAGTTTGGATGACAATGTATATTTTGAAGATTTATATTCTGATATCGCAATTAGTTAAAAATATTTTAATTGAAAACCTTTCACCTCTGTTAGCTTTTTATTCTGCCGAGGAGTTTATCGGATTGAGCTTAAAGAAGTTCAGATTTTTCGATCTTTTTCAAAAACCATCTTATTTTTTCTATCAAACTGAGAGAAAAAATAATTACCTAATCAGAAAGATCATTTATTTTGCCACGATACGGTATAATTTTTTGTAAAAAATCATGATATTTTTCATGTTTTACAATTTCTTCTAAAATTAGTTAAAATCGATGCGTTCTCATGAAAATGATTTCTAAATCGTTCCGTATGAATTTTTTTTTCGTGTTATTGAATCGATATTCAGCACTAAGAAAGTTCAGACTTTTCTCTTTTAGAATCAGTCATTTAAAAAAACGAAATGTCTAACGCTTTTTTTTTACGATTTTTCAAAAAATACTTAAATGTTTATAAAACATTTAAAAATTTCGTCATTTTAAAATATATTCGCACGAAAATATTTTTTTCGTTTGTAGAATAGTATTATCCAAATTTTGCACAAAAATTAAAAAAAAAAAAATGTTTTAAAATTACAGGTTTAAAAAAAAATGTGTTTTTCGTTTTTATTATGGTATTATAGTAAAAGCAAAAAAAGGAAAAGAAGAAATTTAATATTTTAATTAATTTTGCTTTCTCCAATGTTGTTTTGATCCAACAGTGTTTTTCCCTCCCTTCCCATTATCCTCTTATTGTGAGGCCCGAGTGTGATATTTATCATATATATGTGGCCTGGCGGGAGAAAATGCTTGAGTACCCCTTAACTGGACTGTTCAAAGTTAAGTGGCAAACGAACTTGCAACAATGATGCGTTGAATGAGATTAACAGACTGAGAAACCTCTGTCCATCGATAAGTAAAAAGTAAAAAATACATTAAAAGTAAAAAAAAATTTTTTTTAAACAAGCTTTTATTTAAATGCTCTGAAAAGAATAAAATAAATTTTTCTTATAAAACTTTTTTTGCTATCACTTATAAAGTCGTTACCAAATTTATGATATAAATGCTTGTCGCGAGATTTACCTGTGTAGATAAGCAAACGAAGTAAATAACTTGATCTGATTGATTTTAATTTTTAAAATTTTCAAACTAAGTAAATACGAGTACTTAAATCTCGCAACAATCTTTTATATCATAAATTGTGTAACGATTTTATAAGTTAATAGCGAAAAAAGTTTTATAAGAAAAATTTATTTCATTCTTTTCAGAGTATTTAAATAAAAACTTGTTCTTAAAAAAGTTTTTTTGTATTTGTTATTTATTATTATTCTATCTGCTAGGTCCACATAAAATGATTTTATGAGCAAGCGTTAGTTAAAATAGAAATTAAAAATTTTTATTATGTATTTAAACTACACATTCTCAAACGATAGTCGATAACAAGCATAACTGTAATTAAAAACAATTCTGAGGAAAGTTTTCTTGTTTCTGTTACAGATATATTAAAACTTATCACAAAAGCTGATCTACTTAAAACAATGCACCATTCTTGTGAAACTACTCTGAAACAAACCTATTCCTTTCGATTAACCATTCATAAAAATATATAATTCCGTTTTTTTCCCACTTGTGACAGCAGAAGTTTTTGAGAAATAAATGCCGTTTATTACAAATTGGACAAGTAGACTTTAATCACTTGAGGAATTTAGAATTCTGAGAGAGAATGAGGTAATAAAAAGAAGAAAAAATCGCAACACAGAAAAAAGATCACCGCAAGATCTTAAATATAGCATTACAGGCCTTCCATACAGTAATGAAATTTAAGATTATGTCAGAAACTATCTAGCAGTAGTTTCTGACCAATCATAGATTCCATTTGAAAAAGTCAAGTGACACAAACATTCACCACCTCGTATAAATAGCTAGAGTTCTTAGTATAATCCTCTCTGCCCGCCCCTCCCCTATATATAGGGTGTAACGGTCTCTTACGTCATTACTGGATGATTGATCATGAGAGATTTCTCTCTTGAGACACGATAGTGTACAGACGCGTCATCTATACGCTCTGTGCTATTTTGCGTTCGACCACTTGTTTCAATTTGGACTCACTCTTTAGTCGCCCCTATAGCTCTTTTAAGAGCTTAAAGGATAGGGCGGCAACCAGTTGACCAACTACCCCTCCCTCCATTACCTACCTCCTGATTATGACCATGGCCACGAACTCGGAAATGATAAATGTTATGGAACTGTCACTACCATCCTCAACTAACTCCTCTCGACCGGAAACCCCGACAATCACAAACTGTGAACGACAACGAGCCATCAATAAGGACATAGAAAAATTCGGAATTGTTATCGAATCTATCAAATCCTCTCTCAGAGGGTTGCAAATCGCAGGAATTGACGATGTCAACGATCCTACTTTCCTGGACCAGACTAGAAGGCTCGACGACTACCAACGTCTACAACAACTAGCGGTAAGTGAGTTTACCTCTCAACCCTATTGCAACACCCCAGGCTGTATCACTCATTCCACCCCAACTAACTC